GACATTCAAGATGGCTGCGCCCTTGTGGAAGAGATGTATATAACTCAAAAAGTAAAAAAAAAAATTTTTTTTTTGACGTAACGGTTTTTAATCGCGCTCTTATCCCACTAGGCAGGGAGAACCAAAATGGCGGCACCCAGCAAAAAGAAGAAACAAAAGTCGGGGAACGTAGTGCCGGTATTCTAAGCGTTGTACATGTACTGGTATTCTCATAAGCCGTGTGCGTGTTTGCTCACATACGCCAAAACGAAATTTGCTTATAACATTGAACATCACCTTTACAACAAACGACGCACCACGAAAAAAGAAAAAACGAAGAAAAATATTTTTTTTCCAGTGAAAAGAGCAACGACAAACAATACAGGAGCAAACAACTCCCACAACGGCGGCCAACAACTCTCTTGATCAATGAATACGGGCTCGGACATTGGCGGCGCCCGGCATGGGTTGGCGATCCCGATCACGGCACGCTCTTTGTACACGGGTCTTTTTTGTTTTTTTGTTTGCCGCTGTCCGTGGTCATGGAGACCAAACTCACAACAAACCGCGAAGCGTCCGGACTATGCGGTTCCACATCGGGCGTGGGGGGTGCTCTCCGTCCGACAAGGAGCCAAGAGGGCGCGGCGGCCGCGGCTTCGGAGACACGCACGTGCACGGCCGCGGCCGCTGTGACCGTGAAATAAAACAACAGCCGAACGTGGGCGACCGCGGGCCCTTTTCGATGGCGTCGTCCGCTCGCTAATTCGTACTTCGCAAAGTGGTTTCCTTTAATCAAAATCTGACCAAATCAATTTTGTTTTTAAATGCACTGTTCGATATGTATTGGAGAGAAAAAGAAAACCTTCAGGGCCGCGGTTTTACACTCCTGATACATCGCAAAGCACTCCTGATACAAAAAAAGTATAATAAAAGCTGCTAATCTGTTTTTTTTGTTGTTTTTTTTTAGTTAGAACTGCGGCTCAGCCTTTAAGGACCGATGACCAGTTCGCGCTTTCCAATTTTCCTTCGCTTCCTCCTTTCCCCTTTCTTTCCACCGTTCCCTGTTTCCCCTTCCCCCATGGTGAGGAGGATTTTCCGCCTTGCAGAACCTCGAGTCTGGTCGTCGACCTTTGACACGATAAAAAACAAATAAAAGCTTTTGAAAAGTGCAGGCTCTCGTCGAAGTGCATGTCAAATGGTGGAGGTCGAAATTTAAGTTAACTGTTATTTTAATTCCATTATTGGGATCTACAGGAAAAAAAAAAAAGAAGAAAAAGAAGGGCCCGTTTTAACCCATGAAAGTGTCTTGTTTGTTTTTTGTGTCTTTATTAGTTTTATCGCGCCAATCTTGACCAGGGTTCCTAATGTAGTGAATGTTCTTTAGCAACGTGACTAGACGATCATTACCGGGTAATAGTACTGCCCAACTAATTATGTTGTTCGAGAATGTCCGCTAAATTAGGCAAAACCGATGGGTCTAGCTTCAAAGAAGGAGAACACGTCATAAAGTGAAACCGGCCTTCTTCGTGGACTTCCCCTTAATCAGTTTAAGAGAGAAATTAACTACAATTTAACCGAAATTACGGCCTGCTAAATTGCTCACGCCATCCTTATGCGGCTGAATTCTCCTCAACGTATGGTATCTGTAGTTATTTTTGTATTCTTTCGGCGCATTTATGCGGATAGAAGCTTACGCCTTTTCCCGAGTGAAGCGAGATACGATAAAGCGAGGCACAAGACACTCTAACTCAATCTATCCTGACATACCAAAGGCCGCGCTTCGCTCTCTCGTGCACATAATTCCGTGCCCCCTTTGCTCCGCGCAAGATAGCGGCCCCTCCGTAAAGACGGTTTCTACTCCGAGTTAGCCATACAATATTCACTAAGTTGGCCTTCCTGTCCTCCTTTTTCTTTTTTATATTGCATGGAGTATGATCTTGATCAGACTTCAAATGGCTTTTGCGTACGTTGATGGTTTTATTCGAGAAGGGAACATCATTGTAGAAAACCAGACATATCGACATTTTGTTGCTATGCAGGGATCGATTCTATATAGAGAGCCAAGCGAAAGTGATGTAACGGAACGACTGGTCAAACATCATGTGGACAGAACCTTAGAAAAAAAAAGTCATGTGCTGTATTTATCATAGTGAGATATATTATGTTCATTCTGCATACGTAAATTTGTGGACAGAACTTTAGAAAAAAAAAGGCATGTGCTGTATTTATCATAGTGACATATATTATGTTCATTCTGCATACGTAAATTTGGTGATATCTACGTACTTTTAAACAAACAAACATTAACGTACACAAAAACCTGGCGTCTCTGAGTGCCGATTAAAAAAAAAAAAAAGCAATAAGCGGTCCAGCAACTCTTAGAAAGGGTAGAAAGACATTGATAAAAATGGAAACTAGTGAACAATTATAGGAGTCTGTACCGGCTTGCTAGAACAGCGTCTCAGCTGAGATTGGGAGAAAGAAATCACTGCAAAGGCTGGGGCGCGCGAGCGTTTTGAGACGCGGCTGGAGTCGCGCTCAGCTCGTGCACTGGCTTTGGCAGTGCTTTCTTTCTCACTATCTCAGCTGAGACGCAGTTTCTAGCAAGTCGGCTCCGATAAATCGGTGATTTGCTGTAGAATTTATTTGTAATTTATATATGTGACGTATGAAACAAATCATGTTATTTCATATTTCATACAGGCATAATCTTAGAGTTTAACATATAACGTCTAATACGCACGCATATTTCGAGCCATCACTGCATATTCTGTATTATGTTATGTGCAACCTTCGTGGTATGAAACGCATGATCTAGTCGTACACTGCGCGACACTGCTGGCGCTTTTTTTCGCATTTTACATCGGGAGGGCATACTGACAGGCATTAAAATTTACCACTTAGGTATAGCGCCTCCACCGAAAACTTTCAACCACTACAGTAGTGTTTTGATGACAGTTATTTATTGCTGAGATGAAAACAACGAAAACTGGCAATGGATTGTTTTGCGCTAACGATGTCGCGGAGTTTATACATATACAGTGCCGTCAGTGTGCGCCCTTATAGAACGGTCGGGTCGTCAAACAAACCCCAAAAACTCATTGTCACCTAAAAAAAAAATTTTTTTTGCGACGTATTTACGTAGTGATGAAATAAAAATAAATATATATACCTTTTCTTAAATGCACATAACTATTTAAATTCACCAGATGAAGAATACAATCAGAAAAAGCTCCGCAAGGAGCGGAACCGGAAGGAGTACAGTCAAGTAACAATATAATCGTGCAGATTACGATGTTCCCGCTCTCTGTCTCGTGAGCCGTTCTTTGGTGTTTTCATCGACTAATGCTCCAGTCTTATTGACTGAGGAGCGACAAGAAAAGATGATCGAGCCTTTTTCCGCTGCGCGTTTAGTTTAAGTTTTCGCTGACTAGAAAACTGCTCACTTTAGCCTCCTAGATTTTTGGTGTGTGTCGTGCATCAGTGTGATAATAATAATTAATAAAGTTTTTATTTCCCCTTTTTCATTTTACACCAAAAAAAGGTGGAAAGGAGGACGAAAAGCTGTTACTGCAGCTTAACGAGGCCCTAGCTCCCATATACACACTTTGGCGGGAAAGCAGCTTGAAATAAGCACACTAAAACAAAACAAAAACAGAAGCAAACTACTCTCATGAATATATTGTCTACGTAGAATACTACTCAAAAAGACCATTGCCACTTAAAAAAGAAATTTACAACAGATAGGTTACACCCGATTTGTCTTTCTAAGTATACACACATCATTTCCGTCAAGTTCATTGACTAAAGATGGCAACATAGATTTTAATTATGTAAAACCGTAATTAGTGCCGTGTGTTGAAACACTCCACGTCTCGCCATGGCGAGTGACATGCTTGCGATCTGACTATTCTAAGCATGAAAACGCAAAAAAATAATAAAACAGAAAAAAAATATTGTTATGATTTAGGCTAGGTTACGCATCACCAGACACCGAAACTAATACAGCTGTTCAGTAGGAATGACACAATGCTGTAAAAAGAGTGCATTAGAAGGATGCGAAAAAGGACCATTTGCAAAATTCGAAGAACCCTTTTCCGGGTTACTCACACTCTGGTTAGTTTACGTTTTGTTGTTTGGCCCCAAACTAAATTACAATACACATGGCGAATGTAAGCCAACAAAAAATAATATGAAAATAATTGTATACTTGTTAGAAAGACATACCGGTTTCTACTAAGAAGAACAATAGATTTGCTAGCTTTCCTATGTATACGTTCAACGTGCTCATTCAATGGCAGTGAATCGGTAAAAGCGACACCCACCTCTAGTGTTGATGAGCCTAACATTATTTGAAATGAATAAGATATCTGTCTACTTCGAGGTCCAAATAACACAGATTTAGTTGTATCCGCATCTATTTTTAATTGATTTACGTTAGTCCACAAATCAATATTTGCAAGAACTCCTATTACTCTTCCTTCTCTATGATCCACTGAGCGACCTTTAATAAAAAAAAATAGTCGTATCATCAGCATAAGACACGAGGTTTGCCTGCGGTATGCACTTTTAAAAGTAATTTGTTAAGATTATTAACAAGAGTGGCCCGAGCACGCTACCCTGAGGTAGCGTGCTCGCGGGCTTTAATATTTTAAATGGTTGAAATATGGGTATTAATAGTAACGAAGTGGGCGTACGGTGTTACTAAAGTTGCACGAACGTTCGTTTTAGTGCAGTTAAACAGATGTCCCGACTGGGTGTTTATATGTCTAACTGAACATTTTTCGAACACCAGTTTACTCGGTTTCTAAATGTGGTTTTGCTCCAATTTTACGCTGACTTCGTTAAGCAAGGATACTTGGGAACAAAACCCGCGAATAGAAACGTGATAATAAGTTTCTCGTAATTTGAAATTATATAATTAAGCGAATCAATACGTGTTGCCGGTTTCAGTATAACTACGCAAAAAAAAAAAAAAATAGAAAAATTGCCACAAAAAAAAAAAAAAGATTTCCACTTACCACAGGTGCTGGGAGAAACTGCCTGTGACAGAGAGGGAGAGAACAAAAAAGATGTTTTATTCCATTGTTTCAATAGCAATCAGTAGCACGAGTTTAAAGACAAGAATAAATTCCGTAACTGTTCCCACAATGGCTCTATTGTTCGAGAAGAGCGGAATTCTCGCGCGGTATTAACTAGCTTATTCTTTTACCTTATACGCGAGGTGTTATAGAGCCCGTACGGAAACGCTGACTGATCAGTTGAATATCCGTAATATTTTAAATTTCTAGCAGTTATAAGGTTAAACTGCTGCATGAGCAACACACGCTAATGTAGCCACATATGTTCCCGCTGGTCACACGGTGCGAACAAAATATAAACATAAGAAAAATGCTCACATTACTGTCGAAACAAACTATTCGCTATGAAAAAGCTGTAAGAAATTCAGTAAAAAAAGTTCCACTATCGGTTTTATTAGACCCCACACTCCCTCCATTCGCAAAATAAATAGCGCACAATCCTAAAATATGATGTCCGGTACATACGTTTCTGTCAAACGAGGGACAAACGCCTTGACATAACCAATGAAGGAAAGGGACCGAAGATCAGCAGACAAAATTAGCACTGTTAAAGCATCAGCCTAAATGTCGGAAGAATAATTAGCTTTGCAAAAATCCGCACACATTCGTTAGCATTGAAAATATAATTCCCCGAGGGTGTTCATGATTCACATTTTACGGTAAGCTCTCACTTCACAGCTTCACGGCTTTTGCAAACTTGTAATCGTGTTGTGTGTACGCTTATACAGCAGTATGTTAGTCAGACTCACTAGGCGCCTAATGTCTCGGCTGTAGATGAGAAATTTTGTCAGTGCAGTACAACCGCTAACCTGGGGTTTTTAAAGTGCACCACACAGTAGTGATACAGTACCGCACGCCGGTACGATGCTCATCCAGATCGAAACGGGCAGGAGTGGGGTTTGAACCCAGGATCCTAGGTACTGCAGCGCGAGCTTTCGCTCCACGTGCTCCGAGCTGGTGTGCGCTAGCCCACTCGGCCACCGATCCCCCTCACGGATCTTGTCACGACCAATCGCATAAAGCAGGTTCATTATGTAGGATCATCATCATCACCATCATCGTCGTCAGCATCCTCATCATCACCGTCATCACCAATTACTTTTTTATTTTTTTTTTTTGTGCCCGTGAACAACGATCATCTGTAATGTGGCACAGCGTAATGCCGTTCCCGAAATGTCTTGATTGAGTTCTGCGGAGATAGCAAGGTCAAATGGTCAAATGTGTTTGCGTCGTGAGAAATCAAGTTTTATATTTGTTTTAGCGAGAGAAGAAGCAATCGAATTTTAACCAGATTCTTTTCGAATTTGGAGCGCCAAAACTGACAAAAGCATACAAAAAAAGCCTCCTACGCTATTGGTGTACGCATATTCATACCGGCCATATTTCCCCAGCTGTTCAGAGCTCTCGATTCGGTACTCGTGAAACATTTTGCGACTCTTGGTGTGATTATATCAATTCAAGAATTTTCGACAGTGATTCAGTGTTACTTTTGAAGTTACTTTTCGACAGTTTAGTTCTTGTTGCTTCTTTTTTTATTTCTTGTATAAATTTTATTTGCACATGCCCCCTCCTTCCTTGGCAGCCAAAAGGAAGCTGGCAGTGTTGTAAATAATAAATAAATATCAACCATTCACAAGAGCCATTAATAATGCGAAGTGTGGAAGCAGAAAAAAAAAGAAAAAAAAGACAGAACATTTATATTCGCGATAAAAACTTTTTAAAACACTTACAAGCCGATATTTAGTGGTGATATACCTAAAAAACACAATCTGAAAGGAGGTAAAAAAGTATGACGGAAATAATCCCTGGAGAAGGGGAACAAGAGGGACGAAGGACAAACACAAATCTCCAAAACACAGCTAGGTGACTGGTGAGCGACCGAAAAAATCCGCCTGGTCCGGGTATCGAACCCGGGACCTCTCCATTACAAGTGGAGCGCTCTACCCTTTGCATTTAATTGCATTATATTGTAAGAAAGTAGTCATTTATCTGAAGATCTGACCGCAAGCTTTAGCATATTGTTAACATACATTAAAGTAAGCACAGGGCTGTGATACCAGGCAGCTCTAGTAACTGGACGAATATTTACTGCTGCGAGTATTGGATGCTTAAAATGGGGGGTTTCTACTATTTATATGCTTGGAATGTGTCACGCGCAAATGCGTTTTACTCGAGCATGTCGAAAATTACCCGTACGACTCCCAACAAAACAAGTGTCGTTTTGTCACTAAGAGCTTCCTCGTAAATAAAACGGTAAAACTAAAGCGCCATGGCTTCACAATGTTGGGTCACGTATGCACAGATAAAAAAAAAACAAAAAACACTGAGGGCATTGGACACATGGTTCTCGCAGGTGTGCATCATCAGGGCTCGAATGGATTCCGACGAGCCAGACAAAATAACCATCTTCCAGGAATCGCCTTCTCCGCATGCCGGTCATGCGCGCCGAAAAGACCACTATAGACCAGAGAGGAGGACATTCCCTTCATATTTACTACAGTGTTCTAGAGGGGGCTGTAGTGGCAAGAGTGGCGGCCGCTTTGTGAAGATTTTGCGCGTAGACGACACCATGGGGCTGCTGTTCTGTGCCCTAGGAGCGCGCCCCCGTCAGCCCCATCATCAGCGCTGTTCGGCGGTTACTACTGGTTTGACTGGAGCTATTTCGCGGTGCGAAACAACTGCTAATGTAGTTCTGTATACTCTAGGGTGCCTTCATGTGCGCTTTGCTTAGGGTGGTGGCATCTCGCCATTTTGTCCCACACGTTTATTTTTATTTTTTGTTCAGAAGCGCGTGAAAGAGCGTGCCCCAGCACGCGTTCGTGGCGCAGGCTGTGCTATGGCGACATTTTGTTTTCGTCGATTTCTTTGTATTTTCCTTGTGAGCGCGTGCTGTCGGCATCGGGTACTACAAAGGCTGGCATCACCCTAAACAGAAGGACATTAGGGAGTTTTAGAATAGCGCACGCTAAAGCTTTGCGCACGCAAAGAATAGCGTCGTCGCCACCGCGCATGCTCCGAACGCAAACCAGGTTTTGCGCTTTGCGTGCGCAATTTTAGCGTGCGCTATTTCTCGGAAATAGCGTGCGTACGCAAAGAGCCTTTGCGCTTCTCCAAGGAGGATTCATGATGAGAAGTTGGCTAAAGCCAAGACGAGCAGAGTTAAGTAAAAATGGCGGCTTCCAGGATTACGTCGGCGGCTGCTTTGGCGGCGTCGTCAGTACGAGGTCGGCGGCATCCTCGCGACTGCGATTTTCAATACGAGACGAAATTGTACTCGGTTTTGCAACGATCACCGGCAACATGATGCTTGCGACGCGCGAACACTTCTCGGCGAAGGTACGATGTGCGAAGGTCAGTACACGAGACCTCTCTTGTCGAGGCGACGCAAGCGGGCACGACCGGTCAACCACTCGCGTCGCATTCTCGTGTTTAAACAAATATAAAATGGCACTCTGGACCAAACACTTGTTTCCTTCTAAAGTTACAGCATTTCGTGTGTGAAATAAAAATTATGACTGTATCTTGGTGGCGTCGCAAGCGCGAGATGCTTGGGCTTTTGCGTCGCGACGGAGAAACGCTATTCTAAAACTCTCTCGCGTCGCGGGCGCTAATACAAGCGCTAAATTTAGCGCTAGCGTGCGCTAAAATTGCGTACGTTATTCTAAAACTCCCTATTGAGGCACCCTAGTATACTCTGTTTCACCTTATGATGTACCGCATGAAAGGCTACAAGCGCGAGCTCTTTGCTCTGGGGCACATCTCGGCGGCACACGCTCTCGTGAATTAAGAGCAGCTGCCAACGCTATGAGCTCGCGCTTCTAGCCTTCGCTGCGGTACAACATAAGGTGAAACGAAGTATAATAAATTGTATTTCTGCCTTTGGACTAATGCCTCTAGAGTGTGTGCTATCCTCTGCTTGAAATATTCCCGTGTTTTGAGGGAGATTATTTAATTAATATCGACTCCCCCCCCCCCCCCCCCCCCCCTTGTACTGACACATCGTTCAACAACGCTATCACTTGGGCTGCAGGCTTAATAGCTGCGAAAGAAGTTCTACGGTGCTACATTTCGGAGAAGCGTATCGCGTCACCCTCGTCGTCTTCTTCGTTCATCGCATTAATTCTCCTAGGGCACAGAACTCCAGCGCCACTCGGGGTATCTACATCGACCGTCTTCACGCGCTTCATTGTAAGCGGGCGCCGCTCTTGCCACTCTAGGGCTATGTTCCAAATCTTACCCGAGTAACCTGCCTCCTACGTCAGCGGGTAGTACCACGTGACATCGCGAGTAAACGATCCGCGACTCGATTTTGGAACGGCCAGGATAATCACCTGGATACTACGCGGATTGGCTTCGTCTTGGGCGACGGCAAAAAGAAAACACAGCAGCGATGACTAGGGGTGTCGCGAACCGGCCGCGGTTCGAGTTCGACCAGGTTCGACTTTTTCGAACTTTTAGTGGAAAGTTCGACGAATCTTCTATTGAGGTTCGACTCGTGTGCGCATGCGCGACAGGCTGGCCAGTTGGCTTCGGATTGGATGGTAATGGCTAAGAGATGAATTAAGTGCAGCGCTGATCGGCTATTTCAGTCAATACAGTACTAAAATTTAAGTTATTAACTTCTTCAGTGAATAGATTTAGTTTCTTTTAATTGCAGCTGTTCACACAATAAAATAACCTTTTGCATAAAAAAAGAAATTCTCCAAACCTAGACATGCTTGTATCAAGGTCGGGCCACACTGTCCACAAAGTTCGAAGGTTCGTCGAACCGGTTCGACCCAGTCGAACCCCGAAAGTTCGACCAAAAAATCTGGTTCGACAAACGTTCGCGACACCCCTACTTTTGATCATGGAGAAAGCAGCCGAAGAACGGTAATGTTAATGACGATGCGGTGTATTTTGAGGTGGATCCACCAGCTCCTTTTACTCACCTTCGTTTTGAACTGTATATTGAGATCAAAA